AAAAAAAAAAACATTCTTAAACTTTTCGCGAAGTATATGAAACAAAAACACTATATAAACCCTCTAAACATATCTCCAATAACCCTGTGAAAGTGTGAATCCTCTTTGCCTTCTCCTATTTCCCCTGTTTTTTTCCCATTAAAAAACAGAGGATTTTAGTTTTACTATCTTCTTTTTATCCTTTAATCACTAAAATGGACCATCTTTCGTCAACAACCCTTTTGCCCGAAACCTTTTCGGGCGCTAGGGATGATTTTGCGGAGCAATTTAGCATCATATGGGGCCAGGTAAAGGCACCATTGATCGTGCCACTGCTTGAACTCGCCGTGTTTTTGTGCTTGGCAATGTCGGCCATGCTTTTCGTCGAGAGGGTTTACATGGCTTTCATCATTAGTCTCGTGAAGCTTTTCGGCAGAAAACCCGAAAGACGGTACAAATGGGAGCCGTTGAAAGATGATTTGGAGCTTGGAAACTCTGTGTACCCAATGGTTCTTGTTCAAATCCCAATGTACAATGAGAAAGAGGTAAATTTTTTTTTCTTCTTTTTTTTCAGTTCTTTTTGTTCTTTCTTTTCCGTTTTTTCGTCATTTTACGTTTTTTCGATATAGGTTTATCAGCTGTCAATTGGAGCTGCTTGTGGCTTATCTTGGCCGTCGGATCGAATCATAGTTCAGGTTCTTGATGACTCAACAGACCCCATAATCAAGGTACAATTTTTTTTCTAAGTTATAAAAATTCTAAATTTGTCTATTTTATCATTTTCAATATAATCACATGATTTTGTTGTTTGGTTTGCATGATAGAATATGGTGGAAATGGAGTGCCAGAGGTGGGCAAGTAAGGGCATAAACATAAAGTATGAAATCAGGAACAACAGAAATGGGTACAAAGCTGGGGCACTTAAAGAGGGCCTCAAACACTCTTATGTGAAGCAATGTGATTATGTAGCCATTTTCGACGCCGACTTTCAGCCCGAGCCCGATTTTCTCTGGCAAACCATACCGTTTCTAGTGCACAACCCTGAATTGGGCCTCGTCCAGGCCCGGTGGAAATTCGGTAACTATTTCCAATTTGTATTGATGCCATTCACATAATTTCCATTTGTAGTTATAACTTTATAATTTATGACTCTGTGGCAAATGAAAGGGACTGTGTAACAACCATTCACCAGCAGAATCACTGCAAAATTTTTGGTTTGGTTATTTTTGGATTAAATGTGGACAGAATTGTTGCTGTCTCATTTATTATATACTAGAGTAATATGCTACATACATACAGTAAGAAAATATAAGTACTAATTTCTGGATTTGTTTTTCTGTGGTGTGAGAAAAAGTTGTTTGTTTTGCCTATACTGCAAAAAAGAAAACAGCAAAGGGAGCAAGTGTGTCACTATAGTGATGTAAACGAACCGAACCGAACCGAGCTTGGGCTGTTCGAGCTCGTGTTCGCTTACGTTCGAACAGTGTTCGTGTTCGTTCGTTTATTTCTCAAGCAAAAAATCGTGTTCGAGTTCGTTCGTTTAATTGTTCGTCAAAGTTCGAGTTCGTTCGTGTTCGAAAAATTTAATACATAACTTTTTTTTCAGTGAATGCAGATGAATGCCTAATGACAAGGATGCAGGAAATGTCACTCGACTATCATTTTACAGTGGAGCAAGAAGTTGGATCGTCTACATACGCTTTCTTTGGCTTTAATGGTAATTAATTAGTTAAAAATAAATCATATTTTTGCATAATTTACTAAACATTGTTCAATAATTTGTGCTATTAATGAACTAATTGTGTGTGTGTGTGTGTGAAAAATACAAAGGAACTGCGGGTGTGTGGAGAATAGCAGCAATTGATGAGGCCGGAGGATGGAAAGACCGTACAACGGTCGAGGACATGGACTTGGCCGTACGTGCGAGCCTCAAGGGATGGAAATTCTTGTATCTTGCCTCTCTTAAGGTTTAAAAAAAAATCAATACTTCATGTATTTCAACTAACATAGCAAGAAAATTTAGTATGAAAGTTTATGTTTTTTTTTAGGTGAAAAACGAATTGCCTAGCACGTTCAAGGCATACCGCTATCAGCAGCACCGTTGGTCATGTGGGCCCGCTAACCTGTTTCGAAAAATGGTGATCGAGATTTTACGAAACAAGGTTTGTTGTTAGCTGAATAACTAATGCTATGAATGCGCATTTTGTTAGTTTGCTCGTTTTTTTTCTTACGATGTTTTATGTGATTTGGGTTATTTGCAGAAAGTGTCCATGTGGAAGAAGGTTCATGTGATATATAGCTTCTTCTTCGTAAGGAAGATTGTAGCCCATATAGTCACCTTTGTGTTCTATTGTGTTGTACTGCCTGCTACTGTGCTTGTACCCGAAGTCCATATACCGAAATGGGGAGCAGTTTACATACCGTCGATCATCACTCTCCTCAATGCCGTTGGAACTCCAAGGTGACTGATTTCATTTGTTCAGCACCTCGTTGTTAATCAACTTTCGAACTATACATTCAATGTGTTATCGTGTGTTGAAATTGTTTTAGGTCACTCCATTTGTTGGTGTTTTGGATCCTTTTCGAGAATGTAATGTCATTACACCGGACAAAAGCTACCTTCATTGGCTTGTTGGAAGCCGGCAGAGTTAACGAGTGGATTGTTACAGAGAAACTCGGGGATGCTCTTAAGTTAAAACCAACACTTAAAGCTTTCAGAAGACCTCGATTTCGAATTGGTGAAAGGTAAACAACATCACATTGTTCTTTTTCGAACTTAGGTGATTGGACTAATTGACATTTTTTCAAACAGGGTCCATTTGTTCGAGCTTGGAACGGGCGCCTACCTATTCTTTTGCGGTTGTTATGACATGTCGTTTGGGAAAAACCACTATTACATATACCTTTTTGCGCAAGCAATCGCGTTTTTCATCATGGGATTTGGCTATGTTGGCACATTTGTGCCATCTTAGCGTGAGAACCGTGAAACTGCTTGTTTTTTATACTTTGTACTTAGTTTGCGTGCGTTATATTACCACCTGGAACTTCATGGAGACGGAGCATGGTCTTGAAGTTGCTTGCTTTAATTTTAATATATATTCTAGTGCACTATATTTTTTGTTCTCTCTCTTTTACATGTATAAAAAGATTAACGATTTTTTTTGGGTAAAGCACAAGAGTTCGAGCTGAGAATTGAATGGAATTTGTTTTTTTGTTGTATACTAGTTGGAACACGGTTGTGCATAACACAAACGGACCCAATTATTATTTTTTACTAACTTTTGTAATTTTAACAAAGGTGATGCAGATGATAGTGTACGATGGAAAGATGATTAAAGAAAACGCATAAAGCAATTCATTTCTTTTAATCTGATAATAACTGCCCGTACAAGGAAACACATATGTTTTAAATAATACATCAAAGCCATGACCAACCATACTTTAAAGCCCAAACACAAAAAGCCCAATATAACATAAATAGACATAAACGAAATAACAGTAAAATATAATAACAATCACACTAAAAGTCGGAATCGTTCATGTGTGTCGAGAAATACCAACACACTCTCATCGATCCTGGTAGAGAGACCCGTAACCCGAGTGTCCATCAATTGCATCCAATTGTCCATATGTTCAAGAGGATCGTCAATTTTGGCATCTCGTCGATCGTCCCGGTTAACTGATAAAAAATAATGCAGAGGACAGCGTACGATAGGAAGATGATTACAGAGAATACATAAAACAGCTTATATCTTTCAAGTTGATATTAACTCTCCTACAAGGAAACACATATGTTTTGAATAATGCATCAAAGTCCTAACCAACAATACTTAAAAGCCCAAACACAACAAGCCCAATATAACATAAATTAAAAGCTCAAACACAACAAACCCAATATAACATAAATAGACATAAACGAAATAATAGTAAAATATAATAACAATCACACCAAAGGCCGGAGTCGATCATGTGTGTCGAGAAATACCAATGCACTCTGGTAGGCATCAAAAGGAGAATTAGAATTAAAAAAAAAAAATGGCTTTATTTATAAAGAAGTACTAATGTACACATGTTTATTGGTAGACATAATTTGTATGTGATAGGTATTTAAAGGACATCCCCTACTTATAATCCTCGAATGCGTTGAACTTACGTGGCTGCTTCTGGTGTTTAGGATTTTTACTTGGCGAAGAATCATGCTTCGTAATTAGGTTTGGACAAATAATATTGATATATTAATAGTTAATAATCTAGGTTCGGACATTCTATAAATATTATTTAGTTAACTTAGGTACTTTTAATATCACTTGTACTAATATAACTCTTTAATTCTTTATAATTTTACATAGTGAGACACTAAGTGACTAATATATCACTGACTTTTGATTTGCTTCCTTCAATTAGTTACTGAATTGTAAATGTATTTTAAAGGTTTGATAACTTTTGTGTTTCTTATCGGTTTTACATATATAATATATCAAATTAATTATCTTTTGATGATCTTCGATTTGACATCAATATTGTATATATGAAATAAATAAATTATACTTATTTTTATAATACTAAAAATAATAATATTTATTAAAATTCATTAAAAAAAATAAAATTATTTCTTATTGATATATTTATGTATAATGTAGTAATATGTTATAAGTTAAAAAAATTATTATAATATAACACATGTAAGTCGCACAAATAAAAAGTGTCATGCTAAATATATAATAATATACATTTTTATAAAACGTATTTAAATTTTTAACTACTTATTCTCATTAATTTTAGATTTTAAGAAAAAAAATTAGTAAGCACCTGTGTAATACACGAGAGTTGTAGTAGTAACATATTAATAGTTACTAGTATGTACCCTGTGCGACACGGGCTGTATTTATTTTGATAAAATTTATAATTGAAGGCTATTAATCAATAAGTTATAATACATAGAACATTTGTTAGGTAATCGTAAAATAATCATCATGAAAAAATCATACATTATTAAAAAGCTCTTTGTTTTTCCATGCAAAATTATTTTTCACGTAACCGTAAATCGATATTTACCAAAATTGCTCTCCACTCGGTAATTGTGAATTGCATAGACACCCCATTCCTTCATTTTTTTGTTGATTTTCAGAATGTTCCCACCATGAAATAAAACTATAGTGAAAATATGTAATATTGTGATAGATACTAAAGATATGATTATCTGGTGAAGTTTAATTTTATATCGAGTATAAGGAAAATTGTTACCTTACAGTTAAAGTGGTTTTTGAGTATATCTTTTTTTTTTCGTCAATCATTCTCATTTTTTATGCCAAATTCATTCCAAAAATTGAGAACGATTTTGTTTTGTTATGTTTTAACAGAAATTTGAAATTTAGTTGTATCTTTTGTAAAACATATTTATAAAATAATTACGTTTAAAAAAAAACATCAACGATATTTTATCATTTGTAGATCAAAAATAACTAAATGAATCGGAGGACATTACGGTTTTTAAATGAAAAATATGTTTCATAATAAAAGTGATAGGAAAATGATTCAAAATGATAAAAAGAAAATCGTATATTATAACAAAAAGATGTTTACATGAGTAGTAGATTAGTGAATCGAAAATTGTGGCAATTTTAAAAAAAACATGTAACCATGATTGAAATTAAATCTTTAGAATATTTTTTACTTTTAGTTAAGTTGCATATATTGCATAACTATATATGAAAAATATAAAATATTTAATGTTCAAATAGGCGATTTATTTATATGTATACAATAAAGTGTATAGTCCAAATAATTAAATTTTATCTAGCATTTATATTGTTAATATTGATTCCGTGATTATTGTAAAGTTCAACTCTTATTTTTATGGTAAATTTATATTATATTAAAATAAATTGATAAGTCTAAAAAGAGATATGGATTGAATTTAAAAGATTGAATCGTGGTTAAGTATCTTGATATCATAATTCTACTGTTTAATAAAAAGATATTCCATAACATTTGGTTCCATAATAATACTGCTTTTAAATATATCTAAATAGCCGGATTTAGTGTTTAATCAAATATTATGGAATATTTTTTTTAAAATATCTAATTATTAATTTATTTTTTGTTTTTTATTTATATTTTATTTTTATTTTCGCCAATTGACAATATTATGTTTGATCATATTGTGCACGCAGATAATTTTTTAGATATAAAGTTGTGAACTTAACAAATTTCTTATGTGGTTCACAATCCATATAAACAATTGACATTTTGTCAAAATTATGTGATAACAACATTTATGCATTGTAAATGCTCTTATTTTGTTTTAAATAATTTCAAATATACTTCTATCCATTCCAAATAAAATTTATACTATTTAAATTCAAACATTTCGTACCAAAAATAAATCACCCACTTTATACCACAAAATCGGACATTTATTATTAACAACATATTTTCTATGAAAAATAAAAATGGCTATCAGATACTTAAAATAAAATCATCAACTTTATACCAAAATTGGATTTATTAATTTTGTCAACTTTATACCATAAATTAATTAAGTATTTTCTAAAAGTCATTTCTACATTTAGTCCAAAATAAATTTTAGCGGCACATAAATGTTATTTATATTTTTGCATTTGGTTATCTTGTCTACGAAGAAAAAGATAATCTTGCAACTCTACTATGCCAACAAAAAGATGTATGAAATATAACATAAGTATTAATTTATTATGTTTTACTCAATACAGGAAATATAATATAGATATAAAAATTAACGATTAATTCTCTATAATTGCTCAATCGATTCTATATATTTAAACTAAGGATTTCGAAAATTTCTATAATACCCCCATATTTGTTTCCATAAAACTAAATCATCCTAAATTTAAATTCAACTAATAAAGGTAATAACCATAAATATTTGATTAAAAATATTATGTACATTAATTACATTAATTTTTGTTAATTTACTATTTTTAGACAATAATTAATGAAATTGGCGGGAAAGTGTGTCTAAAAGTGAATTATGTTAATCCTTATTATATATTAATAGATTTTAAAGTATTGATTTGTACACAAAGATGTATATTTTAAGGTATTTTTTATATATGCTATAGATACATAATATTGTACATAAGGGTGTGTACATGACACTCACATTTAGTGGGACTTACCAAAATTAAAAATCAAGTGAACATGTGAGTGTTATCTACACTTTTATATATATTTGTTATGTACTTGTTAACATTATTTTTTTTTTTTTTATACAACGTATAGAAGGTTGGCTTCATACAATTTGTTAACTCATGGAATACCTTCATTGCATCGTTAATGTGAATAGGACAGCTACTTTATCCCAAGAATTGAGAATTGTAGAATACCCATAATGTGAAGAAAAAAAAAAATAAATTGTCTTTAATTGTCTAGAATTTCCCACGTTACACCGGAAATGCCATTAGATGAGATAAATGTATACTGTCTGTTGTTGGAATGGATTTTCAATTGCCACTATAAATTATGGGATAGTTGAGATTAACAGTGAAGTAGATATTATAAAATTTAATTGATATTTAATTAAGTAATTAGTAAAAAGAATAAGAATATTATTAATAATAGCACATTAATATCAATATTTTTTCTTTTTTATTAAAGTAAAAAATAGAAAAGAAAAATAATCTTACATGCAAAATTGGGTGATGATCTTGATGTCTTTGCCACTCTCATGTCTTTCGGACGAATTTCAGCAAGCCTTCTCCCATGCAAACCCCACAAAACAACATAGGCGTCTATATAAGTAAAAAACAAGTTTTATTTTTGTAGATAATTTTTTGATAGCAAAATGTTGCTTTATACATAGATTTAGTAAAACATGTTTTTGAAGTTGACTAATTGGTTAAGGATTAGATAATGTTCAACTTAGGTCTTATAATCACAGTCCTAATTGATTGAGGTGTTAAATGAAATTCTTCCAAAATTTCTCTCTGTCCAA